TGATCAGCTAGATCCAAGGCAGAAGTATCATGGCGGAAGGGCTGGGTGGAGGAAAGCTGCTCAGCCATGGGCCCAGGAAGATATGAGTAAGGGCTCAGGGTAAAGAAGTACCCTCCAGGGCACAATCTCAGTGAACTCCTCCTTCCCACTAGTTCTACCCCCCAAAATACATTTAAATCATTTCCACATCAAATGGATAAGTACCATAATGAGGTCTTCACCCCATGAGACTTTGGAGGACCCTTCATATGTAAACTGTAACAGAAGCCCTCCTCCCACTGCCTATGTCCCCCACCTGCCCACTGGGGCAAATTACAGTGTGTCTTCCTCACTGTGTTCCATATTTGACCTGCACAGGGGCCTGCACTAACACCATCTGCATGAGAGCACATCCTCCTCCCTTTGCTCCAGTGTCCCCTCCACCACCCAGGTGTCCTCTTTGCTGCACTAGCGTGGAGGGTGTTCCAGCCCAGTCCTCTGACACACCTTTCTCCTCACCCAGCATGTGCCCTAGCCTTGCACCAGCCTCTGGGGACAGTGTTCTCTTAGGACCTGGGTGAGATTTGGTGACAGAATAAAGATAGATTAGGAAACACATTAGACTCAGGGCAGAGGAGCAGCTGGTCCAGGGAGACCTTTAGCTTCTGAAGTCAAAGCTCAGGTGGAGCTGGGGGAGGGGCACACACAATAATGAGAGGATCTCAGGGAACATGTGGCCTGATGGGTGTCTTAGCCTGCCAACAGTGAGGGAGCTGACCTTTCAGGTGTGGAAGGGCCAACTCCTGACCTTGGCAGACAAGGTCAGAGGAAGTGTTGGAGCCTTCAGAGTGGAGCAGGACCAGAGCTCAGCTGGGATGAAGGGACAGCACAGGCACATGGGCAACATCCTTCCCTTCCTTAGCAATCACAATGCCTGCCCTTGATGTGGTTTGTCCCTTTCTGTTGCTTCCTCTTACCCACCCCAACCCCTTTGCATTCCTGGCTGATAACACTGATGATTTTTCATGCCAAGGTCTTCAAGGAGTCAGGTGTAGAGGAAACCTCCCTGGAATAAATATTGTGCTCACATATAAAAAGGAAGAGTTCAGTCACTCCTCCTGCAGGGTGGGCAGGATCATGAACCTTGTCTTGGTTGGAGAGTGAGCAGGAGAAGTGTGTACTGAACTTTGATGAGACCAAAAGGTCTCTCTGCTCACAGGAACGAGGGGTGGTTCTCTCCTGTGCCTCTCAGGAAACACATTTTCTCTAGGCAAATCTGTGCTGCCCTGGCCTATGCTGGGACACCTGGGGACACTTGGCCAGGCCTGAGAGGAGCCTCCCTGCAGCTGTGCCCAGCCTGCCCAGCCCTGATGATTTGCATGTGCCCACAGCACAGTCCACTGCCTTGAGGACTTCTTAAGAGGCTTCTCACCCCCTGTACAGGATTCAGTCCCCGTTAGGACACAGCATGGCCATGAGGGTCCCAGCTCAGCTCCTGGGGCTCCTGCTTCTCTGCCTCCCAGTTAAGGAGGGACAGCACTGGGGATTTGCTTAGACCAATTTCATCAGTGCTTCCTGGTGTTCAGGGAAATCCTCTTATGACATTATTAACTGTGTGCATATTTCTTCTCATGTTTTCAAATTGTAGGTGCCAGATGTGACATCACGATGACCGAGTCTCCAACCTCCCTGTCTAAAATCAAGGAGAAAAAGTCACCATCAGTTGCCGGGACAGTCAGGGCATTAGCAATGAATTAAGCTGGTACCAGCAGAAACCAGGGCAAGCTCCTAAGCTCCTGATCTATTATACCAACCGTTTGCAATCTGGGGTCCCCTTGAGGTTCAGTGGCAGTGGATCTGGGACAGATTATTCTCTCACCATCAGCATCCTGGAGCCTGAAGATTTTTCCACTTATTTCTGTCAACAAGATTACAGTTCCCCTCCTACAGTGACATAGGCCATGAAAAAAACCTCCCAGGGAGCAGAAGTGTGAGGCTGGGCTGTCCCAACTGCTCCTCCTGCTGCCTCCACCTGCTGGGGGCACTTCTCAGAGGCAGCCAGACTCTGAGGGTCACTGGGTTTTTTTTTCTAGGCCTGGAAAAGCTCCTCTGCACCCTGTTTCTTTCTCCTTTTCAGCCCCAGCACTCAACCATCAGATCAGGCCCACATGAGTGGGTGTCTCTGAAGGTGTGTGTCCTGCTCTGTGCAGTAGTGCTCCACCAACCAGTGAGTGACAGGAAGCTAAAAGAAAGCCAATCAGCAGAAGCACCATGATGAGTTCTTACCCTGTGGATGCAGGATCCTGGTGCTGGGTGAGCTCAACCTAGATGCCCAGGGGCACAGAATTGGTATTCAGAAACAGATAAATGCATAGATGGTCAGTTTTTATGACAGAGATGTTATTACAAAAACTATGAACAAAACTTATTCATAGGAAAAGTTCTCTGTCAGCATCATGTGCAAACAGACACCTGGTGTATAAAATAGGCTCAACATCAATAATCATCAGAGAGTGAAAGTTGCAACAAACCAGTAGACACATTTAGAAGAAAGGCCATAAAACTAAACCATGAAAAACATGGAGTGCAATCTGAGGAATGATCTAGAACACTCTCATGTGTTTAGAAATGTGAAATGGTCCCTGTGTTGGAGACCTGCCCTGACCATGCACATACCTGTGATCCAGGCTTTCCACTCAGAGCACATGCAGATGTGCCCAGATTCCCACATGCAGGGACCTCACAGCATTATCTGTGATAACTGCAACCTGAATCAGCTAAATGCCAATCAAGGGAAGAATGGATAAATAGAAAAAGGGATGTGCATGCAATGAAATACTATACACCAGTGAAAATGGCCACTGATTTCAAGAGCCGTGCAAGTGACACAGGCCACAGATACACCACAACTCATTACCCATGATTTTATTTTTATGAAGATCAAAAACTGGCAAAATTTGATAATTGCTTAAGATAGCTTACAAAATGCATGGGGAAAAGGGTGCGTCAATGACTGGTTATTCTTTTTTTGAGAGTCTTTTTCCTAGTATTTTACAAATATTATTCTCTTTCCTCCTGTCTGCATATTTCTTCTGATAGCCACATGGAAGTTCCCTTGGATGTTGTGAGTTGTTTTTCTCTTGTGGCTTTCAAAACTATCTCTGTAAATTTTCATAATTTGTTTATATTATATTTTAGTGTGACCATCTTTAGGTTACTCCTATTTGGGACCTTCAAGCATAGTTAACCTGAATGTCCATAATCCTCCTATCATCTGGGAAATTTCCAAGAATTATTACTTTTAACAATATTATTTCTTATTAAATGTCTCCTGCTTTTATGGAATGCCTATAAAGCATTTTATGGGGTTTTTTTTGACCCTGTCCCATACATCCAATGTGTTTTATTCATTTGAAATACAGAAAGAAAAAGATCAGTTCAATAAATTGTTACAGATTGTGAGAAAAATACAAGCAGAAATCCTGAAAATGAAGGAATCAATAAACCAAATGTTAGATTCAAAAGAAGGCATCAAAACACAGAGACCACTTGAAAGACTGAAACTCAGACAATGAAGACAAAATGTACAGTCTTGAACATAGAGTGGAGTATTTCCCTGATTTATTGATTTTCTTTGCATTTTTCATTTCTTTATTATTGTTTTTCCTCATGGTAACTTGTTAATTATATGTGAATATATAATTTAGCAGGGAAAGTTACCTCATATTTCTTTAAAAAATATTACAAATCTATGTTTCAGGTTGAGTGTGGGGAAGAGAATCCAGCTGACCTGGGCAGTGGCATGGAGCCTCATTGACAGACAGGACAGGAGCTGACCCCTGGACCTCAGTCTGGGATTCTCCCTGGACATGTGCTGTGCTCTGGGAGAGGAAAGGGGCTGTGTCAGAAAGCAGAGGACACCTCCCCCATTCCCAGGGTACTCTCCCAGGATCCTACCTGCTGTGGTTTGTGTGTATAGGAGGGCACCTGGGCTCCCAATGCATCTCCTGCTGTCCTTTCTAGGCCATCTCTGCCTTTGGGTCAACATCATATTCACCTTGACCATAATGGCTCTCCTGAGTGACCATCTCCCTGCAGTCATGCCCAGGCATCTGAGGTGGGCATATGCTCTCAGGTCCCCACCCTTGGACAGAATGGGAACCCCAGAACTCACCCTCCTCCCCATTCTCCTTCCTCATCCCTTCTGTCCTCACCAGGGGTACAGAGCATCAGAATCCCTTGTGGCCCAACTAGAAAACTGTGACATGACTTGAGGGTCATCTAGCCAGGATCTTGAGGAATCCCTGAGGCAGTAGAGACCCAGAGTCTATAGGGCCCCAGGGACAACCTTTCACCCTCTGGGAGATTTACGAGTGACTTTTCCAACTCTGATCCTTCCCCACATGGAGGCAGGCAGTTGAGTGGTTCCAGGAAGGGTGACTGGAGTCTGTATCATCCCTGTACCTCTGCCAAATCCTGTAATTGTGGGGACCACATTGTGTGATGTTGCCTCCCAGTCCTGATGCACCACTGGGACCTGATAGATCACTGTGTCTGGCGGGGTAGTGCCATGACTCCTGACTTGGTCTATTCTCTTTGTGGAGTGTGTCCCTAGGATTGAGTTACACTCACCTGTTCCTTGGTAATCCTGCCCTTTGCCTGTTAGTGATAGAAGGTTCCATGGAAACTCCCTTTGTGTGTCCCCTTCTCTTGCTCTGCCTTTGGGTGTGGCCTTCCTAGATGTCATTCCATCTGCTGACAGAAGACTCCATAAGCTAGACTCCACCCCCTGAATCCTGACCCCTTGCCTCATTTAAATGGTTTCTTCCCAATAAAAGGGTTCAGCACTTGCTCCTCTCTCATTGAGGAGCTGCCACAGGACCCAACGAAAAAGGCATTTCTCTATTCATTTCTGGGTATTTTGTGTAGCCCAGTTCACCTGGAGTGACCTTGAGTGTTTAGTTGTTGAAATTGACATGTAATAATGAGAATAATACAATTAATTATGCAAAATTAATAAGTCAATTTCATGAAGTTCCTTTTATTAGTTATTGCAGGCAAAGTCATTTTTCTGTTTCATTTGTTTGTTTGTTTTATTAGGTTTGAATCTGAATTTCACACAGAACAGCTTTTTGGCCACGTCCTTCCCAGGGCCCAGGTCCTGCTCCCTCTGCAGTGTCCACGTTGATCCTGTCTGCTCATTCAGAGGGTCTCTGGACACTTCTGTGTTGACCTCCACATGCCAGGTCAGGCTGCTGCAGGTGACAGGGCCACTCATGGGTGTGGCCTGAGCTGTGGCCCACGCAGTCATGGTCCACAGCCCTCAGCTGCACTTGTTCCCTGAGTTCCCAGCACCTTCCTCTCAGAGGTCAGTGAATCTGCTGAGCTGCTCCCCAGACCAGCAGCTCATGTGGCAGCTGGGCCACCCAGGCAGGGAGGTTTTTGTTCGGGGCTACACCACTGTGGGAGGTAACTCTATACCTTGATGACAGTAATATATTCCAGCATCATCAGGCTCCACCCTGCTGATTGTCAGTGTAAAATCTGTCACTGACCCACTGCCTCTGAACCTGTCTGGGACCCCAGTGAACCGGTTGGAAACCCTATATATTAGGCCCTGTGGAGCCTGGCCAGGCTTGTGCACAACCCAGTGCAAATATGTGATTCCATTACTGTGTAGGAGGCTCTGACTGGACCTGCAGGAGATGGACACTGACTGTCCAGGGGTGATGGGCTCGGAGAGAGGAGTCTGGGTCATCACAATGTCCCCACTGGTTCCTATAAATATTACAGAGAAATGCAAGGTTATGTAGAAACTTTAAGAAATGTTTTCCCTTTTTTTGTACATTGCAGACTAAATTAATTTTTATTTTTGATTTATACACTAAAACTATTCATATACATAAAGAACTCCAATTGAATAAGCTCCAAGAGCCTCTCTATAATTCTGTTCAACATCCCTCTCATATTATGTGACAATATCCATCAGAGCTCCATCCCTTGCTCCTTCTGGAATATTCTCTCACATTAATCAATCTCAGCCTCATACATCCCTCATGTAGGCAGAGCACACATGGGCAGAATGGGGGCCCAGGGCTCCCCTCCCTCCCCCTTCTCCTTCCTCATCCCCTCTGTCCTCACCAGGGATCCAGAGCAGCAGCAGCCCCAGGAGCTGAGCAGGGAGCCTCATTTTGAGAAGCTGAGCTGAGGAGTCCTGGTGAGTGAAGGGCAGGTTAGAGCTGAGCTTTATGTCAGCCTTGCAGGAAGGCCCTCCCCAGGGAGCAGCATGCAAATGCCCTGGTGGGTGCTGGGTGGGGAGAATGAGGGAGGGTGGGGCCTGCCTTGTGAGCCCAGGGACATCAGAGGTCTTCTACAGTTGGAGAAAATAGAACAGAGAAATAGCCCTGGGTCCCTGTGGTGTGAGAGGAGTTCTCATCATGGAAGCCTCACTCTGTTAGGAGTCATGGTGCCCAGGGCCTGCCCTCTTAAGACAGCACATAGCCCAGATAGGGAGGGGCCTGCAGGTTAGACTCTGTGAGGGAAATGACCATCTTGCTGTCTTCCTCTAAGCTGAGAAGAGAAGGTGACAAGTGCCACCTCACAAGTGATGATCTTGGAAATTCTTCCAGCCACAGCATGCCATTGAAGAAGTTCAAGAGCTTCTGGTGTCTGATGTTATCTGGAGAAATACAAGAGCATCAGGGAAAATGTGGATGTCACCTTTTCCTGGCCCAGTGAATGAAATAAGAGCAGCAGTGTGACAAGAAGCTGGAGGAAAAAGAAATCGTGTTTCAGCTGAAGGTCAAGTAGCCCTGCTCAAGGGAAGAGGACAAGGAGCATGTCGCCTGAGGTAGTCAATGTGAAGCTCCTGGGGTGAGGTCTGTAACTGGTGGCCATCCTTTCCTAGTCATCTCCATGCATTTGAAACTCAGAGCCACCAAACATTTCTCAGGAGATGGACCCCAGGTGCACTGGGCTTTGTGGACAGGGAGGATTCTGTATTACTTCTTTCTCATAGATGATAGAGACATCCCTCCCCTTGTCAGGGAAACTAGGGAGCAGGTGCCACCACCCTGGGTTTTAAAGTAGATTCCCTAGGTCAGAACTGTACCCAGGCATTCTGCCCATTTTCAGGGGATCCATATGCACTACTGGTCTCCTGGGACTGGCCCCAAGGTGTCTTGGGGAGAAGGTCCTTTTCCCTGCACAGGGACATTGATTTCAGCCCTCCTCATCCACAGGTGGGACAGAGGGAGCCTGTGTTGTGTTGGCCAACATGGCTGTGCTGCTTTTCTCCCCAGCCTAGGACCTCTGACACACCCTCTCCACTGTGTGGAACCTGGGCCACCAGCATCCCAGGACCCTTCCATGTGTCTCTTGGTTTAACTGAACGTCTGTGGCTGTCCTGTCCCGAGTGGGCAGCATCCTCTGAACCTGGGAAATGTGCCTGTTTGCAGTTTCCCCAGGCTGCAATCTTCCTGTGCTTTTTCTGAATGAGCAGAAGGAAAAGAAATGAAGGAGAATGGTTTGGAACTCACTGGGCAGGAATAGGAAAAGTGCAGAGTCTCAGAAAGTTCCAGAGCACAGCACCCCTTGGAAGAAAGTGATGGGCAGATCACTCCTCTGTCTTCTCCTTGCTCTAAGGATGTCCTCAAGGTGTTTCCTGGGGAATCTGATGATGGCACTGAGGTATCTCAGGTGCAGTTTAGATCTGGTTATCTCAACTGATTTCCATAGTTTATACCTGATTTACTTATAAAGATATTTTCTAGTCAGTAGATTTTGCTTTTCCATGACTATTCTTCAGTGCCCTATTTACTATTGTAATGCTCATATTGGTTCATTGGAGTTCTGCAAAACAGATGGTTCCCTGGGCACAATCTGCAGGCCTGGGATACACTGTGCTTCATCTTAATCCCTGGTGCCCCCTTATTCTCTTTCTTCCATCCCCACTCCACTCCCTCTTCTTTCCTGTCCTCCTTCTGTTTATTCATCTGCTCCTTTGTCATTGGTGGGCTCTAGACCTCTGTGAAGCTGGGCTCACTGCTGTGCTAAGGTGTCAGTGCCCAAGCACATGGTGTCATGTGGTGCATTCCTTCCACATTTCCTCCCTGTCCCAGTCCTTGACCCCCCCATCTCTGTCTCCTTTGCCATTGGTTGTCCTTCTCTCCTATGACACCTTACCCCCCTTCCCCTTCCTTTGCTCTAGCTTTTGCACAGGAGGGTGACACAGGACCCTAACCTTCCAGAGTCTGGCTCTTTCACTTGTCATGATGTTCTCCACTTCCATCCATTTACCAGGAAATGCCACCATTTTCTTCTTCTTTAAGGCCCTGAGTTCAGTCTGGATCATGTGGGTGTGGGCAGATCAGGAGGAGCTATGTGCAGAAGAAGGCATAACCTGACCACACTGCAGAGAGAGAGCAGAGAGCTGAGGGTCCCCTCAGCCATGAGCCATGTGGGACAATTACTTATTTGTTTCATTTTCTGATCCTTGTGATGAGATATGGCAGTGTGATGTCTCTCCTAGTTTTCTGTGGCTGAGCAACAAATTCTCCCCTATTGAGCAGTGTGTTCCTTCCCAGGCATGTCCCTCAGGAGTCCAGGCTGGGTCCTCAGCTCAGCCTGAGAAGACTGAAATGGAGCAGTCAGTGGGCAGCTCTCCTTGCTGAAGTTCAGAGTCTTCTTCCAGGTCCAGTGGCTGAGGTAGAGTCATCTTTCCAGAGTTGTAGGGTGAGGTCCCAATTTCGCTGAGGCCATTAGCACAGAGCTCCTGGATACTGCTCTGATTGCCACCTCCAGGAGCAGCATTAGAGCATCTCCTCCCATCCACTCTTCATGGCCTGAGATTCTTCTTCTTCTGCCTCCATGTGCAGATGATGGGCTTCAATGTTGAAGAAAGATCTAGTGTGTACTCTCTCCCACTCTTAAATCCATCTTATTTGATTATATCTCCAAGATACTTCATTAGAAATTTAATTGAAATTCCTGTTTGAGTACTTGGGAAATGGGATGGTACAAGGCCTGGGGTTTGGGGCCAACAACTTTGAATCCTGTCCACATACTACCATTTTTTTCAATTACCATAATGACTGGATCCCTGTTGGATATTCAGAAGTAGGTGCTGATTGGAGGAATCAGTTTTAATAAGATCAGGTGATCCAGGTAAGCAGAGGATAAAGAGGTAACCTGCAGTTGGCACAGGAATGACAATGACTTCCCCCATCTTCCCTGTGTGTCAGCTGCACCAGGGACTAAGTACTCAGGAACACATGGCCTTCTTCTCTCCTCCACCCAGAGGCACTCACTGCCCTCAGCAGAGGCCTCAGGCTCCCTGGCAGAGCTCCATGGCCTCCCAGCCTCAGGCCCTGACTGCCTCTGCACACTGACTCTGTGTCTTCCTTCCACAGGACCAGCACATCCCTATCCCAGCCTTGACGAAGGCTGGTGCACAGCCTGGGAATATGGTGGAATGACATGCCTGGCCTCCCAGACTGGCCTCTAAGGCACAGGACTCTGAAAGTTCAGCCATGGAGTCCCACCTTAGGCCTGCAGTCTCACAACACCCTGGTGCTCTTTCAGAGCCCAGGGGATTCATCCTGATGCCACATGCTGATGTCTTCAGGGAAACCAGATATCTAGCCTTCCTGGAGGCTGGCTGATGGACCCCTCTGGCCATCAAGTTTCTTCCCAGATGGAAGAGACATGGCATGGCCAATGTCTCTTCTGTGGTTTATTTTGAAGCTGTCAGGGTCTATTTTTCCCTCTCCTCCTCACTAACCTTAGGGTAGCAGGATGGCCTCCTTCCCATTCCAGGCTGGGTTATCTGACCTTGGGCACACACACCAGAGCCATGAAGTAACCTAGACTTTGGCATGTTCCAGAGACCTAACATATGGGTATTTATCAAGGCTACAAGTGAATTTTAACCTCTGACAGGTCACAGCTGGAGTGTGGCCTTTGAAGGCCCTCTTTAAAAGCTCTCTGTTCCCCTGAGGGTGAGAATCCAGCCTCTGGGACAGGAGTCCCTGTGTTTCTCTTTTGATAGCAAAGCAATAAAACTTCTCTTTTCTTTCTCTTAAAACTTTGTCCTCATTATTGGACTTCAGGAACAAGGATGAAAATTTTGGTGCTAGTAACTAGCAAAGAAAACTGATCTAAGCTTGGAGCCTAATCAGCAATAGAAAGTGAACTCCTGATACAACAACACAGAGGGCTCTCGGTGCATCCAGCTAAGGGAACAGAGGTTCTCAAAGCCACACGCAGATGCCCTCCATTGTAGGGCATCCTGGAGGCGGCAAGCTACAGGGTCAGGAAACAAAGGAGTGGTTGCCAGGGGTCGGGGTGAGGCCCTGTTGACTTCAAAGGGCCCCAAGAAGCTTCCTAGGGAGCTGGCTCTCTCCTGTATCTGGACTCTGGCTGTGGATACTTGGCTGTGCATTTGGCAAAACACATAGAAATATTTACTAAAAATCATGATCCTTTCAGAATATTACTTGTACTTCAGTAAACCTTATTTAAATTTTTAAAAGCTTTGCAATGCAATATAGAATCTTCATCTGAGTTTCTTAGAAGCAAAACAACAACAACATCATCATCAACAACAAAAACAACAACAAAATATTGTGTTAGTTACATACCTATCCCTACGAGAAAATTCCAGTTCCCCAGTGAAGGTTTTTCAGGATAAAAAAGTTGATTAACCTCTCTCCTGGGCATTGTAGAGCATCTGGCATGTGTGAGTTTGGTAACATTATAAATGGCAACTTCGGAGCAGATATAAGAACACAGTTTATGTGACCCTTCCGGGACAAATGCAGAGTGTGCCCATAGAGCATCAGGTAGAGAGGCAGGTCTGCAGCCTGGGAATGTGATGGACAAGCTGTACCGTGGCCTCTCAGGCTGGCCTCCCAGGTTTCAGTCTTGGAAATTCACCTATGGATTCCTACCTGAGACCTATAGGCTCACTGCTCCTTGGTGGTATTTCAGATCCCAGTAGTTTCATCCTGATGCCACATGCTGATGTCTTCATGGAGACTCGTCACCTAGTCTTCCTGGAGGCAGGCTGGTGACCTGCTCTAGCCCCCAGGTTTCTTCCCAGGTGGAGGAGGTATGGTGTGGTCGATGGTCTAATCCTCCCATAGGATTAAAATCTTGACTCTGCATCTTAAGAACTGTGTGTGTCCGGCCCCCCCAAACATTTTTTAAAAAACTAAGAACAAAACAAAACAAAAAAATAATTGTTTGTGACATTAGGTAACTTTCCCCATGCCTCAGTTTCTCATCTGAATTATGGGATGCCTGAGGAATAACTAAAGTGGCATATGTGAATTATGTAGCTGGACATGTAACACGTTCATAGTAAGCACTAATTTTTGTCAGTTATATCCAGGTTCATGAGAAGCAAACTGACAGTCGTTGATGAGCAATGGGTTTTCCATGTTATTCTTCACAAAGTAACCTGAGTCATCTTAAAAAAACACAGAAACAACAACAACAACAACAAAATTAGCCAGGCTTGGTTGTGCATGCCTATAATCCCAGCTGCTCAGGAGGCTGAGATGGAAGGATCACAGGTTCAAGACCAGCCAGGTAACCAAGTGAGATCTTGTCTCAAAATATCAATCAATAAATAAGTTAGTAAGAAGGGCTGGGAATGTAGCTCAGTGGTAGAGTGCCCCAGGGTTCAATCCCCAGTACTACAAACAACCAACCAACCACACAACAAAACCCCCAAAGCAAATTTTATCATTCCCCCGTGTAAACTCTTTGACAGTTTCCCATTGTCCTGTTCCTAGGTTCACAACTGGGGTTCCTGCCCTTGGCCTCTAGGTTCAGAATCTGGTGGGGAGTTCTGAAAACCCCTGATGCCTGGATCTGTGCCAGCAGGTGAGACAAGACTACTGGGCACAGATGGCCAGAGGTTTTTTTTTCTTTTCCTTCTTTTGCAGATCTGGGAATAAAACTCAGTCTCCCACATGCTAAGCAGGTCTCACCATCAACCTCAGCCTGAGAATTGGGATTCTCAGCCTGAGTTGGTGAGCTCTGCAGGTGGCTGCAGTGATCAGCCCTGACCCCTGCTGCTGCCTGGTGGTGTTCCTTAGCAGGCTCCAGGTCCCAAGAGCCTTCTTCCTGCTCCTCCCCTCTGACTTTCTAGTGTGCTGAGTCCTTTCTTCTCTCAAGACCTCAGCCTCCTCCTGCAGAGCCAGGTTCTACTTCTCCTACCCTCTATATTCCTTGTGGCTCTGGCCCAGCTCAGAGCCCTGGAGCTCTTTCCTGAGGAGTCTAGGTTGTGGGGCTTCAACCACTAGAGTCTCTCCCCTGGGGGAGCCAGAAGCCCTGACCCTTCCAAGTGGAGGGCGCTGTTCCCAGGCCGGTCTCCCCCTCAGTGTAGACCTGTGCTCCTGGCATCCTGGTACTTGCCACAGATAAGGCGGAGGCCAGGGAGGCATTTGCCTTGAGGGCCATGCTTAAGGAGGTCCTTGATGTGGGTATTTCCATGGAGTATATATTAACACAATATTTAAAAAAATAAAATTTATGCAAAGGCATTGCAATGTGAAAAAATTCAAAATTTAAAAAATAGAGGATCTAGCTTGTGAATAAAGATATGTCAATAGGGACTAGTTTGTGGTATGCAACCCTGTATTTGAAAAGTTCCTTTGGTCTGGGAATTTTCCCGTTTCTGTCACCAGGCAAAGTGCAGGATTATAGGAAGTCCTAAAAAAGAAGTCAGTTGCTCAGGGACTTTATGGGCGTGTGCAGTGTGCGAGCCTGACAGGAAGAGGGCAGCAGTGAGCACCGCTGTTTCAACAGCTGTTTCAACAGCACCTTCAGATCCAACAGCTGCGCAGGAAGCTCCATGACCCCTGTGAAAAGGTGTCTGCCCCATGCCTGGACCATGCTGGTGAGCTGGAGCGTGCAGTGGACACTGGGAACAGGTGGACTCTGGGTGCTGCTGTAGATTTTGGTCTTGGTGATGATGCTGCCATTAGGGGGAGGTTTCTTTATGTCTCTTCTCAGGTTGGGCAAAGCTGTAGCTCACTAGGTGGTGTGAGCTGGGCACTGTGAAGCCACCTGACCTCAGGGAACATCTCTCTGGAGTGACCTCATACTTGGAAGTGTCAAGGAAGAAGTGTTGTGTTTAAATTCACACACACACACACACACACACACATGGTAACAGGCAGAATGTGTTATTTGCTAAGCTTCAGTCTGCACCAATAGCAGTGGGGAGAGGAAAGTATTTATCTATTCACTTCCCAGGGAGTGCAGATGAGGAAAGAAGAAGCCCCAAGTTAAAACATCTAGTGAAATAAACTGAGTATTTATAAGAGTTCATTCATGTTGGAACTCCTTTATCCAGCTGTTTGCTGGACTCTGGACTAGAGCAGAAGGATGGACCCTAGATTAGCCCTTGACTCCTGGTTTTGGCTTCAGCTCTGCCTGAACTCAGTGAGTGGCCTGGGCACACGTTTCTGCTCTGGAGTCTTCCCTTCTTCCCAGGAGTGGCAGCTGGTTTCTGGGCTTTTCTCTGGGTGTGAGTGTCTGTGTCATGAGGTGGACAGGTGGCTGAGCTGTCTTCTTGAAGCTTTAAATCATCAGTGTGGAGAGCAGAGGGCACAGGACCCTGTGGACACAGAGGTGGCTCACCCCCAGGTTCCTCCCACTTAATTCCGTGCTAGGATGTTCCACTGCTTGCCCACAAGAGGGCGACAGGAACCTGCAAATAAACTCATTATAGTCTCATCCCAGGAAAGGCTGATCTATTTTACAAGCACAAATTTAATTTTATGTTAACTGGTGAGACAGCAACATTACAGGAAATGAACAAGGCACACATATCTCTCACTATCACTCAGTCCTTCTTGGTTTTAAAGGTAACGTTCAGAACCCAGTCTAGGTGATTTCTTCACTATTTGCTAATGGCTTTGCCTAGGCCTCTGCAGGCCAACCCAGCTGCACACATTTTATAAAGGAGGACTTTGTGATGAGACCTCAGCTCAAAGCCTGGCAGGAGCTATAGGATGGTGTCCCAGACCCTGGTGTACATGTGCCTGTGGCTCTGGGCCTCAGGTGAGGAATTTAAGTGCTGCAATGCCTTCAGAATAACATGTTTGTAGAATTGACAAGCTAATTTTAAGACAGAGTGAGAAATAATGACTATTTCCAATATGGGCCTAGTTATGTGGTGACTCATAACACCCATAGAAAAAGAAATTTAAATGATATTTCAAAGTATATATGATGAAGTGTGAGTGTGTGTGTACATCTGTGTGTGTGTGTGTGTGTGTGTGTTGTGTGTATACATCTGTGTGGGGGTGAGGTGTGGGGGAGTGGGGTCATGGTCCATTCTTGATTTTCCTAACTGCAGGTGTCTGTGGGGACAAGGTGACAATCCAGTTACCAGGCTCCCTGGCTCAGTCTGCAGGAGACATGGTCACCACCACTGCAAGTGCATCCAGAGTTTCTTATCCAACCAGAGGAGGACTGGGCCTGGCCCCAGCAGAAGCCAGGACAGGCTTCCATTCTGCTCCCCTCCTGGGCATCCACGTGGGCAGCCGGGTCCCATGGAGGTTCAGAAGCAGTGGGTCAGGGGCAGATATCACTGTCATCATGAGCAGGGTCCAGGCTGAGGACACAGCCAGCTCTTACTGTGAGCAGCACTATAGCTTCAGGCTTGAGCACAAACCCCCTGCCCCGGCCAGGGGTCAGGGAGACTTTGCTGCCCCAGCTGCTTTGTCCTCAAGGAGCCCTGAACTTCCCTGCCTCCTTCTGCCTGAGAGGTCACATTTTTTGAAAAGTCTGGATTTAAATGATATTACCTACAAAACAACATACAAAAACTAGTTGTATTTTCTTGAGAGAGAGAGAGAGAGAGAGAGAGAGAGAGAGAGAGAGAGAGAACTTTTTAATATTTATTTTTTAGTTTTCGGCAAACACAACATCTTGGTTTGTATGTGGAGCTGAGGATCGAACCCGGGCCGCATGCATGCCAGGCGAGTGCACTATCGCTTGAGCCACATCCCTAGCCCAACTAGTTGTATTTT